CTTTCTAATAATCTCCTTTCTTGGTTTAACTTAAACATTTGGCAAATCAGAAACCAATTTCAACATGACTGGGAAATCGCAAGAAATATCACATCTAAATCCAAACGAATTAAATTCTCCTTACTAACTACTATCTCCAAAACCCCAATAATAACAATTTATAATTACAATATTGATCCATATATTCAAAAATGGCATAATCAAAACTTTTCTATTTTTTTATGCTTTTATTAATCTTATACTTTACCTATTGGCAGGGATGTTAAATTGCGAATCCGGTCCGGTCCGGTCCTAGGACCTGAAACGACGGTCCTTGACTCGATCCAAAAAATGATAGTTGATCGATCCCAGACTGGGTCCTGAACCACATAAGTTCATCCAATCAGATTGATAATTTATTATAAACATAAAAAAACGTTACCGTTGCCAACGTTGCCAATATTCAATATATTCAATATTTTTTGAGAAAAAAATTTATACAAAAAATTTTCATATAAAAAACAAATTTATATCGTACAAAAAAAAAGTTTATATAAAAAAATAAATTTATATAAAAAAAAAAAGATTTATATAAAACGAATTTTATATAAAAAAAAAAAATTTATATAAAAAAATTTTTTATATAAAATAAAAAACAAAAAACTTTATCATTTAAGCACTTATATTACCTGCCTCTTCATTTAATAGATCACCTAGTTCTCTATACCAGCTTTTCAAATACAAGGACACGCGAGCTAGTTCAAGGCTTATGCGATTTCGGGTGAGACTAATCGCGTGCTTGGCAACCGAGAAAGCTTGTTCACTTGGCACGCTGGTTGCCTGCACAGCAAGAAAATCCATTGCAAGGCGGAAGAGAGTTGGGAACGAAGCAGCATTTGCTTTTCACCAAAGAAGTGGCTCCGCTTCAGTTTCAATCTCAGCCAAATACTTGTCAATTTTACATTGATTCAAGTCAGCCCGGTGGCTATGGTTAAGATTACGAAAAAGTATACGTGTTGCTTTAGTAGTAGTAGGAGGTGGAAGTGAGTTATTTTCTTCGGTTAGTTTATACTTTTTATGCAATTCATGAAGTTTATTGATAGCTTGATCACGTTCATAAATATCAAAGGTTGAAAGTTTATTGCAGAGATCAAGAAGACCAGAGATTGTTGAAGATTCGTTTAGGTGAGCCCAATACGATGTAAATTTTCCTTTCATTGCACTAGCTACGGCATGTTGTAAATTAACCTCAGGACTTTCATTTTTATTTAAGTGTATAATAAGGCCGCAGAATATTATGTGCAAGTCACCTTGAGTAGAAAGTGTGGACAAAGACAGTATTATAGTCACGTGGTACATAGGCTCAAGAAGAATTAGCAAGTTCTGTAATATTAACACATAATTAAAGCAGGTGTATTTTATAATTTAAAAAAAAAATTAGTATTACTAACAAAAACAATTTTCCATTCGCATTTGGTAGGATAATTTGGTTTTAAGGCTTGGTTACTCACTACAAGAATATCAGTTATGGGACGGATTCATTAAAGTTTTTCTAACATTATATACATGCTATTCTATCACGTGTCCATGTCAATTTCAGGCATTAAAAATGGAATATTTTTTAACTCAAAAATTTTTTTTAATTCTCGAATTAGCAACGGAGAGTTTCGAAGTTTCTTGGAGAAATCTCTTGCCTTAGAGATTTCTTTGCTTATTGATTTTATTCCTTCTTCTACGACAATATTGAGAACATGGGCACTACAACGAAAATGTTGCACATTTGGATTACTAAACTCATTATTTATTTTTTCTTTTAGAACACGCCCCATCACAAGCATATTGGTGGCATTATCGGTCGTGACCCTAGAAGTTTTTGGCCGATGCCTATTTCCTTTAGAAGTTCAATAATCGTGTTGGCCTGGTTGGTTGCGGTGTGGGTTTCGTTAAACGGGATCATGTCAAGTAAGATACGATGCATTTTCCACTCAGAATCTATCCAGTATACAGTCATACCGATATAAGGCACGACGTCCAACTATCTATTGTAATTGAAATTTTTGCTTTAATATTATTTAAAAAAAATTTAATTTTATTTATATTTTTATTATACTCTTGACCAACTCAAGTTGAGAGTGTTTGGCGACAGAGGAGACGGTAACAGGGGTCAAGCTCTTGTAAAAATTTAATGAATTCTGCATTTTTGAATAATAAAAATGATTGTTGGTCGACAACAACATATTTTAAAAATTTATCATTTAAATTATCTACTTTATATTTTTTATTAGGGCTATATGGATCGAGTCGTTGATATTTACGCTGTTTGATTATAGCGTATTCAGAAGGATAGAAAGCTTCAAAATGCCGATTGATTGTTGATATTGCGGTCTGGTTTCCGAATGCTTGTTTACATACTTTGTATTCGTTACTTCCATCGTCAAGTTCATTAAGATAATCTCTGACAGGTGCACAGTTTTGTATATATTTAATTTGGGCTTTTCGTGGGTTATTTGCTCTTTTTCATAGTTTTTTTTTTGCGTTATCTGAGAAAACAAATGCAATTTCATTGCTTATAGAGGTGGAGGTTTCTTTACTAGGGGAACTAGGAGAACTAGGAGATTCATTATTTATCAATTCGAATTCGAATTGATCTGTTTCTGTAAGGGATTCAAATTCACTTGTCATTTTTTTTTTTTTGTGATTTTTTAATTTTTTTTTTTGAGGCTTTTTAAATAAAAAAATTTAAAACACATTCGTTTTAGCATTTGTTTACTAAGGAAGGCAATACTGTCTTTGTTATTAAAGATTTACCAAATTTTCTAATACGTACAGGCTTTTGTTTCTGTCATATAGATTATTTTGATAAACTTTTTTAAGGCATACCATACCGCCTTTGTCTTTATCATTGTGGAATGGCTTACTTTAAAACGAATCTAATAAACTTTTCCAAGGCATACCGCCTTTGTCTTATTATTATAGAATTAAACGAATCTTTAATAAACTTTTTTAAGGCATACCATACCGGCTTTGTCTATCATTATGGAATGGTTTACTTTAGAACAAATCTTTAATTATTACTACAAATTTTTAAGACAAATAGTAATTTAACTTTTGTAAGCTTAATTCACCTTTTATTATATACTGTATTCAATTATTAAGTTTTTTAAGGCATATCGCCTTTGTCATTAACGAGATGGTAAAAAAAATCGAATGCTTAAATTACCACAGAAATTTAAAAACAAACACAAAAGTATAAGCTATATTTCTTAGTTAATAACAATTTAACTTCTATTAGCTTAATTCACCTTTTATTATTTATTTAATGCTGGAGAAGATTAACTTCTTTAAGGCTATTGCATTTGTCATTAGCGAGAAGATAAAACGAATACTTTAATTATTACTACGGAAATTTAAAAACAAACATCAACAAGTTTAAGTTATTTAACTTCTATTAGCTTAATTCACATTTTATTATATATTCAACGCTGAAAATTAATTTTTTAAGGCGTATTGACTTTGTCATTAGCGAGAAAGATGGTAAGGCACACTGGCCTTCATTATAACAAGGTGGTCTATAGCTCAACAAACTGAGTTAGTTGAGAATTTTCCTTTAGTATGAAATACTCAGTAATTTAACTAAAATTTAACTTCTATAAGTTTACTCACTAATCATCTATATTTTATTTAAATCTAGAGATGGTTAACCTTCTTAATCATCATCTTACTTCTAAAAAGTTGGTTTTAAAATCATACTTCATGTCGCCAAACACTCAAACTGGGGGCCATAAAGTTTTAAAAGTGTATATCTTATAAAAAAAATATATTCTGTACCAGAGGCAATTAATGCCAAAGGCAGAGGGCTGTTCTAACATTTAACAAAAGCAGGTCCTAGGATTTTTAAAGGGACTGGATCCAAAAATTGATCCGGGATCTGATTCCTATATACTTCTCATGTGATTTAAGGATCGAATCCCTGCCGGTCCTTGAAGGACCGGACCGGACCGGCTAGGATTCGATCCCAAAGGACCGATTAACATCCCTACCTATTGGGCCCCCTCTTTCGCCCTCTATAACTAATAATAGCTAGTCTTAAATTAGTTTGCAAATAGAAAATTAAGAGGTGATTTGCTACACTTAGGTGGTTATACAAGATACA